TATCTGTGCTCCGCCCACCACAGGTATCAAAACCCGGTTTCTAGCGTTGTAAGTCCGCAGACATACCGCTGTATCACTGGGGTCTCCTAGGTAGAAGCGAAGAATGGTTGATCATAAAAAAAAATACATTCTTGCCATAGCTAAATATCTGTTGACATTGTTGGTAATAGATGAAAAAAAACACATTCTTGTCATAGCTAAATATCTGTTGACATTGTTGGTAATAGATGAAAAAAAACACATTCTTGTCATAGCTAAATATCTGTTGACATTGTTGATAATAGATGAAAAAAACACATTCTTGCCATAGCTAAATATATGTTGACATTGTTGATAATAGATGAAAAAAAACACATTCTTGCCATAGCTAAATATATGTTGACATTGTTGGTAATAGATGAGGAAGCGAAGCTTATACACACGAATTCCTTTTTTCGTTAGATTAATATTCTTTATGTAGGTGTTGGTTGGTATCACGGCGGATTATCTCTGACGTTTATTCAGTTACACTAGCAGTGAACATGACTGAGTTCTGATTGCTACACGCATACATAAATCTTACTATAAAGACGATACATTACGTGTGTGTGTTAGCATCCATCACCAAGAGTTGGCTGGATCGAATACCATAATTTTTTGGTGTGGTAACTGGAAACTGTTCGATGGTGTATATGAGCTGTCTTAGGATTTTTGCCTGAGAAAGGGGATAAAAACACCCAAAAGTAGGGCACATTTCCATTATTTTTTGTAGCCTTCTGACTTTGAATTCAAAGACACAAGTACTTAATCAGTTAAATGAGTCAATTATTACCTTCCACAAGGCAGGGTATGCAATTAGCATCTAATGAGGTCATTGGGGATTTCCTAACAAAATAAAGAAGGGCGGGGAATATTATCTAACATTGTCCTTTATACAGTTTTTGCTTCCTTAACGGATACCCTCAGCTACTATATAAAATACTTTTAAGTTTCGGTTTTCACGTGTGGTTCAAGTAGAAAATACCAGATGTCTAAATGAGCATACACACGTGCACAAGGTAAGCATTTTATCACACAATTATTTGATTTTAAAAAGGTTCTGCTGTAGAGCAGATGATTTCAGCTGATAAAGCACATGTAGACGAATATCATATTATACCTTGTGTCACCTTTTAATTATAACTACGCTGGCGTGAAAATTTTATATACGTTTTTGTAATATCTATATACATCTACACCGTATATAATGGGTTCAGTTTATAGGAATATAATGTAATATATTACGCGTCGTAAGATACTCATTATTATTTTTAATACATCTATTGTAAATTACTCTGTATTGCCGAGGTCAGCTGGTACAAAGTCACGTGGCTACTACTGGCTACAACCCCCACTTCAGTACGGTCGACAAAGACATTTGTTTAATTAACTAAATGAAAATGACGCGAAAAAGCGTGAGAGTGAAGTGTTTCGCGACATTTAAGCACGTGACACGCAATTGATTCTGATGTATTAAAGCTAACAAATATTAACGTGGGTGAGAAAGTGGTCAATGAAGAAAACCATTGAAGCCAGAAAACGGAACACTGTGAGTTAATTGGACATTGAAAAACGACACGTGTTAGTTTGGTTAACCGCTATTAATTATGACTCCTGTGAACTTATCCGTAACTGTGATTGATATGGAGTCGCCTCCTCACAGCGAGAAATGTCACATAACTCTTTGTTGGGTCATTAATGATGACACTTTAATAACACACATCAATCTGTTATATTTCACTCCAGTTATCCTTATGAAAGTTTTGTTGTATCTCGTAGTGTATAAAATGTTTTGTTGTTTCAAATGTTAATAGCACGTGTTATGTTGCAAACAGTTCGTTGTTTTGTTTTTCTTGGATTTCGCACAAAGTTACACGTTGGCTATCTGCGCTAGCCGTCCATAATCTTTAAATGAGTAACTAGAGGGTAGGCAACTAGTAAATACCGCTCTACGCCAACTCTGTGGCTACTCTTGTCAGGCTGAATAGTGGGATGTGACAGTCGTTCTTATAACGCACCCACGGTTCCTAAGTGCATGCGGAGTGCGACATTTTTTGCCGGTAACAAGACGCGAACTACCGAACCTCAGTTCCACGTTCCGACACGCGGTCACTAGGCTGCACTCGGCCCTTTGCGTGAAGTGTTATTAACGTACATGATGTTCTTGACCGTAGTAATCTTGTATTTCAGAGTACAAACAGTGTAAAGATGCTACAACAGACAGTGTTCGTTCAACACTCATCGTTAATTAATAAACACTTATGGAGGATTATTTCTTTTAGTTTATGTGAGATAAGTTTTTATGTCAGCTAAGTTTATAGAATTTTTTTTTTACCCCTGACGTTTCCTTACATAGTACAGGGAAGAAAAAATAGCGTTTTCATATTCATTTCCTAGACATTCCAAGAAATCACGAGATTTGATCGCTTAACCTTTCACAACATTCGATCAATTTTTTCCATTTATCTCTCTGCTGGGTTTTGACGTCTTCTGCCCGTGTCGTGGAAAAAAGTCGGGTTTCTGTTTCTGGCCTGATTTTCAATAAGCAGGCAATAAATGTGTGTGTGTACTGCAACTTGGATGGTTTATTGTCCAAGACAGACGAAACATGTGTGAAAGCAAAGCCCCGTACTGTACAGGAGGAAGATCCGGCTCGTAAACTTAAAAAGAGAGAAAAAAAGTTAGACAGTTGGAAGATCAATGCTAATGTTCTTAAAAATTAAGTTTCCGACGAAATATATATGGGAAAAGAAGCAGCGAATTTCTGTTCGAAACTTCTAATGTCAGATTAAAGATTAATGTTTACTTTGTGTTGCTAAGTTCGTGACTATAATGTAATAGATAATTCTATCAACCTGTACTTATGACTGCCATTCTGGCACTGGCCATCGTAATTGAGAGTTTAGTGGTGTTTGCTTTGTGTTGCTAAGTTCGTGACTATAATGTAATAGATAATTCTATCAACCTGTACTTTTGACTGCCATTCTGGCACTGGCCATCGTAATTGAGAGTTTAGTGGTGTTTGCTTTATGTTGCTAAGTTCGTGACTATAATGTAATAGATAATTCTATCAACCTGTACTTTTAACTGCCATTCTGGCTATGGCCATCGTAATTGAGAGTTTAGTGGTTTATAGTCGGCAACATTTAAGTTCTGTTTAAGGTTGAACTGAAAGGAATAAAGATGGGGTGAGTTGATCAGCCACAGTTGACAATAACATCTGATATAACGTTAAATTGGTGAGTTGTATATCAAATCCTGAAGAAGACCGTATAATGCGGCGTTGAAGAACAGCTATAGCACTTTGGAATAGTCCTTATAAAGTTTCATTGAAGACGAATAGCACTTTGTAGTAGTCCTTATAAAGTTTCATTGAAGACGAATAGCACTTTGTAGTAGTCCTTATAAAGTTTCATTGAAGGCGAATAGCACTTTGTAGTAGTCGTTATAAAGTTTCATTGAAGGCGAATAGCACTTTGTAGTAGTCGTTATAAAGTTTCATTGAAGACGAATAGCACTTTGTAGTAGTCGTTATAAAGTTTCATTGAAGGCGAATAGCACTTTGTAGTCGTCCTTATAAAATTTCATTGAAGACGAATATCACTTTGTAGTAGTCGTTATAAAGTTTCATTGGAGACGAATAGCACTTTGTAGTAGTCGTTATAAAGTTTCATTGAAGGCGAATAGCACTTTGTAGTCGTCCTTATAAAATTTCATTGAAGACGAATAGCACTTTGTAGTAGTCCTTATAAAGTGTCATTGAAGGCGAATAGCACTTTGTAGTAGTCCTTATAAAGTTGTGTTGAAGGCGAATAGCACTTTGTATCAGTTCTTATAAAGTTGTGTTGAAGAGCAATAGCTCGTTGTATGATTGAAGTGATGATCCATGGGCGTCCGCGGGGTGGGGGCAATAAGGGCACTTGCCCCCTCCCTGGAAAATGAGAAACATAATTCTTACTTTATTCATTCAGCATATGTATGTGAATTTCATATTAAATTCACAATTTCACACTACCTTGTGATATTGAAGCGATGGTCTACAGTACAGACTTGTGGTTTACAGTGGAAGACCTTGTGATATTGAAGCGATGGTCTACAGTACAGACTTGTGGTTTACAGTGGAAGACCTTGTAATGTTGAAGCGATGATCTACTGTGCAGACTTGTGGTTTACAGTGGAAGACCTTGTGATGTTGAAGCGATGATCTACTGTGCAGACTTGTGGTTTACAGTGGAAGAACTTGTGATGTTGAGGCGATGATCTACTGTACAGACTTGTGGTTTACAGTGGAAGACCTTGTAATGTTGAAGCGATGATCTACTGTGCAGACTTGTGGTTTACAGTGGAAGTTCTTGTGGTGTTGAAGCGATGATCTACTGTGCAGACTTGTGGTTTATAGTGGAAGACCTTGTGATGTTGAAGCGATGATCTACTGTGCAGACTTGTGGTTTACAGTGGAAGAACTTGTGATGTTGAGGCGATGATCTACTGTACAGACTTGTGGTTTACAGTGGAAGTCCTTGTGGTGTTGAAGCGATGATCTACCGTACAGACTTGTGGTTTACAGTGGAAGACCTTGTGATATTGAAGCGATGGTCTACCGTACAGACTTGTGGTTTACAGTGGAAGACCTTGCGATGTTGAAGCGATGATCTACTGTGCAGACTTGTGGTTTACAATGGAAGACCTTGTGACGTTGAAGTGATGATCTATAAAGAGTTGTTGTTTACAATGGAAGACTTTGTGACGTTAAAGTGATGATCTAAAAATACTTGTTGTTTACAGTGGAAGACCTTGTGACGTTGAAGTGATGATCTATAAAGACTTGTTGTTTACAATGGAAGACTTTGTGGCGTTAAAGTGATGATCTAAAAAGACTTGTTGTTTACAGTGGAAGACCTTGTGACGTTGAAGTGATGGTCTATAAAGACTTGTTGTTTACAATGGAAGACTTTGTGACGTTAAAGTGATGATCTTAAAAGACTTGTTGTTTACAGTGGAAGACCTTGTGACGTTAAAGTCATGGTCTATAAAGACTTGTTGTTTATAGTGGAAGACCTTGTGACGTTGAAGTGATGGTCTATAAAGACTGGTTGTTTACAGTGGAAGACCTTGTGACGTTGGAGTGATGGTCTATAAAGACTTGTTTACAGTGGAAGACCTTGTGACGTTAAAGTGATGATATATAAAGACTGGTCATTTACAGTGGAAGACCTTGTGACGTTGAAGTGATGGTCTATAAAGACTTGTTTACAGTGGAAGACCTTGTGACGTTAAAGTGATGATATATATAAAGACTTGTTGTTGACAGTAAAATATATTATACCGTGGAACTTATCATCACTAACGTTTCATATTAAATACGTTATGGTATGGCCGATTTATTGCAATTTCACATCTCTAGTATGTAACGAACTAATACTTTTCTTCTATAAGTATAGTATAGAACATAAACATATAGAGAGTTGAAAAGCCACAGTAGGCTTGCCATTGAGAATTTTTCAAGCATCATTATTGTACATTTCGTTTTACTCCAATACTAATATTAAAATAATAAAAAACTATCAAATTTCGCTTTTGTGTACGTACTGTACTACATAAGTAAGACTTAAAATTTTAGAAAAAATGAAATTTAGTGAGATTATATGAAAGATGTGTAAGCAGAAAAAATGTTTTAAGATGTAATTAAAAATTCATGTTTATCATGGCGAATTGTGACTTTTGTTTCTCCAATAGGAGCGACGCTTTAGCAGTAGGAGACTATTTAATCTCAGTGAACGGGATTCGTACCACTAATCTCCGTCACGATGAGATCGTTAATTTACTGATGAACGCTGGGGACAAAGTCACCCTGGAAGTGGAGTATGAAGTTCCGGTATCAAGTAAGTTTTTGTTACAAATATACCAGTCATGAGCTGTTGTAGAAAGTCAGCCTGGAAGTGGTGGAATATGAAGTCCCGGTCTCAAGTAAGTTTTTGTTAGAGAAATACCAGTCATGAACTGTTGTAGAAAGTTTTTAGCTCATCTTCCTAAGCTCGATGATTACATCCAAACTTGCATTTTGTGTGTGTGTGTTGGCCCTCCGTTCATCCTACGTTGCTGTAAAGAATATATGTTTACCTGAATTTACGTTAACTCTGTGTGATAGAGTTGTATTATATACATAATCTCCTCCTGCTTGCTTATCAGAATGTGTACTGTTCAAACTATCAAAATATGTATTTGATCAAACTGTCTATCAAAATATGTCTTTGATCAAACTGTCTATCAAAGTATGTATTGATCAAACTGTCTATCAAAATATGTATTGATCAAACTACCTGTTTATCAGTAGATGTATTGATCAAACTGCCTATTTATCAGAACATGTATTGATCAAACTATCTATCAAAATATGTATTGATAAAACTGCTTGTCTGTCATAATGTATATTGATCAAAGTGCCTGTCTGTCATAACGTATAATGATCAAAGTGCCTGTCTGTCATAATGTGTATTGATCAAAGTGCCTGTCTATTAATGACCAAACTGTCGTTCTGTTTTTAATATTCTCTCTTCCTTGTGTACTTAAGAACGCTTCATTTCACATGTTTATCAACAAGTTTAACTGTTGCTTAGTTTTGTTAAAGTTTGTTTTCGTAATGCCTATTCAGCGTACAAACGCGGATTGTAAAATCCCATAACATACCGTACAGTATTTCTAGTGCCATTGTGGACAGTGTCGTTGTTTACAGGAAACAATCGCATATTGTCATATGTTTCTGAATAATGTCAACATTTGGTTAGAAGTTTAAATAAAGCAATACTCAAAATATATTCTATAAATTATAATAATAATCACCCTAGCCCCTCCTAGTCTTCACAGACGGCCCCGTGATGATTAAGACATCAAATTCAAAACACGTGTTATCTTTGTATCGATTTCTGCGTTTACTTGTACCTCTCTTGAAAGAAACGGTACTGAAAATGACTTGTATTAGTTATTTGTATAGCATTTTATGAGTTGATACTAAATAATGCATGCTTTCGGTTTCGCGCGCTATCTGTCTTTAAACAAATTGTTTTACACGGTCTGAAAAAGCAGATAAAGTAATCCATTAGGCAGACACAGATATTCAATACTTAGATAGGTGACAAAGATGTAACCAAAGTATATATATATAGTGGTTTCTTATGAAAAGCGAAACTAGTAAACACTGTAATATTATGTAAATTAAATATTATTCCAGCGCTGTTAAAACTGGTTTCTTTTATTTAATGTTAGCTGTGAGCCATTACAAACTAATGTTACAAAATTTGCTCTTTGTATACCGCACGTCCTTTACTCTTAATTACATAACGTATTCATTGTTTTAAAGATTAAACAGATAGTTAACAACAACCTTTATTTTTCTTACTTCTAGCGATAAACTGTGTGTTGCTCGAATTAATAATACATAAGAAATTTGGATCATTTTCCTTTCTTTATCAGGAAGTATAGAGATCATGATTCTGTCCGATCTCAACAGAAAATGTCTGTATGTATTTAATGAAAGATCTTCGAATTCCCCATGTGACACAAGTACCACCAGATGCGAGTACTGTCCGATCTCAACAGCAAATGTCTGTACGTATTTAATGAAAGATCTTCGAATTCCCCATGTGACACAAGTACCACCAGATGTAAGTACTGTCCGATCTCAACAGCAAATTTCTGTACGTATTTAATGAATGATCTTCGAATTCCCCACGTGACATAAGTACCACCAGATGTGAGTACTGTCCGATCTCAACAGCATATTTCTGTATGTATTTAATGAATGATCTTCGAATTCCCCACGTGACACAAGTACCACCAGATGTGAGTACTGTCCGATCTCAACAGCAAATGTCTGTACGTATTTAATGAAATATCTTCGAATTCCCCATGTGACACAAGTACCACCAGATGTGAGTACTGTCCGATCTCAACAGCAAATTTCTGTACGTATTTAATGAATGATCTTCGAATTCCCCACGTGATACAAGTACCACCAGATGTGAGTACTGTCCGATCTCAACAGCAAATTTCTGTACGTATTTAATGAATGATCTTCGAATTCCTCATGTGACACAAGTACCACCAGGTGTGAGGTAATGCACTTGGTTCTGGGCCTAGCTTAGCTTATTGGTTTCTATCATGTCCACAATAAATCATGCCCCTCACTTTGAGACTGTGGGTGCGTTATGAGAGTAACCCAGCTCTTGGGGGATGTTCGAAACAAACTATTCATTCTATTTTAATCACTATCACATAGATGTATTTGTATTCAGAGTAAATGAAGATTTTACGAGCACTGATCAAGGCTACGTGTTTATTATAGCATGGGATGCTGCCACCTATCTAGGGGGTAGCAACAGGGCATATACCTCTTCATTATCACGTGTACTTCTTCCAATAGCTTAGGCAGCAGTAATACATGATTATTACAGCTGAGATTCTAACATAAAAATTTTTGTCAAATGTAAAATCGGAGAAATACACGTGTTCTCGGGGATTTTCATAACTAGCAAAGCTTTTGCTAAAACAAAAATATTGTGTTCACATAATCAAGTAAATAACATACATATAGCTTTGGTTTTATATTTTTGAAGAAACATAAATGTATATGTGCGTCATTCCTTCTGTTCTAGGAATTTGAGAAGTACATACATTGATTGTACAATGAATGAAGTTCCTACATGTCATTTCAGACTTTAATGTTTTCAAAAGGAGTAGCGATCTGGTTGTTGTTTTGTTTAATGTTTATACTGTTGTTCTTTCTCCACAACAGCAGAAGGATCTATGTGTGTTCGTCCGAAAGTTATTCAAGTAACGTTGGAGAAGGAAAATGGAAGTTTTGGCTTTACACTACGTGGTGGCGCTTGTACAGATAGACTCAAGTCCAGACCACTCACCATCACACACGTTCGACCAGGAGGGCCTGCTGACAGGTTAGTTTACTGGATAAAAACAGGGAGCCTTACAGGCAGCTCGTTACTACACACTGTAAAAAAGCAACTAACACATTAGTTTTGTATATTGTAAAGGATAGAACTAAGAAACCGTTTTTACAGCTCATTACAACACTATTTAAAATACCAGGAGATGCAACTGGAAAGTTAATAGTCTATATTGTAATGGATAGAACCAAGAAATCTTACAGACAGCTCATTACTACACACTATAAAAAACAACTAATACATTAGTTTTGTATATTGTAATGGATAGAACCAAGAAACCGTTTTTACAGCTCATTACTACACTATGTAAAATACCAGGAGATGCAACTGGAAAGTTGATAGTCTATATTGTAATGGATAGAACCAAGAAACCGTTTTTACAGCTCATTACTACACTATGTAAAATACCAGGAGATGCAACTCGAAGGTTAATAGTCTATATTGTAATGGATAGAACCAAGAAATCTTACAGACAGCTCATTACTACATACTGTAAAATAAAAAAATGTTGGGCTCCAACTAGCATGTTGATTTACTGTATTGTAATGGATAGAACCAAGAAGATCTACAGAGAGTTGAATTTCCTGCTTTTTTTGTGGATGCAGTAATAAACTGTCTGTAAAGTTAAATGATACATCACATAACTGTGAAGAGTTTTATTTTCCCAGGGAAGGAACAATTAAATCAGGAGACCGTTTATTGGCTGTTGAGAACATTAATCTTGGAAATGCTTCCCTGCAAGATGCCTTAACAGTGCTGATAAGGCTGGAAGAAAGAGCTTTGTTCACGTTGGAGTATGATGTATCTGTAATGGGTAAGGTTTAAATGTTCTAATGCACGTGTAGCGGCTTCTAACATTATTTGTTTGTCTGTAAGACATCCAATGGTTATGTTTGATAATGTAATAATGGTGGGGGTTTGTTATGGAGATTGACGAGTACTGTAAAATTCAATAATTTTATATTAACCAGGTGGCACTACTGTTGAGCATGTTCATTGTGGCAACTGTACACAACTTGGCATATCCAATGCGAGATAAAAAGACTTTTTAATAAACAAATGTAATTGTTCAGAGAAGTGTTAATATCATCAGTAACTCCTAGAAAATAACGATACCATTTTGTGACATTACAAAAGTAAAAACAATGACTTGCATGCACTCCATAATATGTGTATTTTATGTTTATGAGTTGATGTGGTGTAATAACAATAGGTAACTTTTGCCTTGATTATAGTTACATTGAGTGACTTTTCTCCAGAATAGTTTAACACTAACTGACATAAAGTTAGTGTTAAAAAAGAGTATTATGTGTTATGTTACTGAAAGTTTAAATCTAAGAAAATGTTACCAGTCTATATTCTCTTAAAAAATTGATAATATAGAAATGGTATGTCAGTTTTTAAGCAATTACACTAACTTTTTATAAACAATGAATTTTGATATTTATAACTTTGATCACCCATTATTTTGGTAATGAAATTACCAGAACTGCTCTTTGCACTTTATGATAATAATGAATAAATTGTTACTTTGTTTGTGAATTGATTTAAGTTAGTAGTTTTTAATATGTGTGATGTGTCCAGTTGTATTATATAATACTGTGAAAATTATGAAAGTTTATACTGTGTCTTGTGTTTAATTGAATAAATTAGTTGCACTTTGCTAATTAAGTGTAATTGTGTTATTAAACAGATGCAGTTCGTAATGCTTCTGGCCCTCTTTTGGTGGAAATCGACAAAACTCCAGGCACACAGCTAGGGATAACTCTCACACGAATACACAGACCAGAAAATGCTATTGTCATTGAAAGTATAAAGCAAGCAAGTGTAGCAGAAAGGTTGGTTGAAAATCTTGTACAATAAATGCAATATTCTTTAATGGCTTCAATATCAAATATAGCCTGCTATGGAAGTACATAAAAAAGAAATTTCTCCTTCACATTCTTTTGATAACCCTTAAAAGCATCAGAAACCCAATAACCATGAATGATAAAGTCAAGGTGTACCGTTCTTGTTGTTGTTGTGTATTAAGAATGAAAGTTAAATATTTGCTTAAAAACTTAGCTGTTTTGCTCTTAGCTTTTCATAGAAAGTATTGTAACATGTAACAAAAGTAAAAAGCAACTGTGGTGATATTATTTTACGTTTGACAGCACCAATAATGTACAAAAGATCTAAATACTGCACAAAAAAAAAACCCTGAAAAATTTGCTACGATAATATGTAAGGGTATCATGCTCAAAGTGTAAGAAATTTTGTTTTGTGCATTAGCCAGCTTGTTTCTTTAGCTCCGAAAGATTGAAGAATGGCAGAATTTATGTTTAACTAGTATCAAAGTTGTATATGATTTACAGCTGACTAGAAATTGGTCATTTGGCTTTCAATATGTATTTGTTGCCTTTTACATTGAAGACATAATCATTTTTATTGGTAACATCTCTGTGGTTTCAAACCTTATGATTGATGATCAAATTATTGTAGAATACTTCAACTAGAAATTAATTCACTCGGTCTTACAAATGGTTATTTTTTATTGTACACTAATGTATTTTGAGTGTTTTATGTCCCATTGGTTAATTTTACTAAATAACTTTATAATTTATACTGTTGTGAAAAAAAGTATAATTCATCTGCAATGATTAATTTCTTATACATTCTTACAAAATGTAGATACATTAAAGAAATAGTTTAATTATAATTATAGTTAGCTTTATATGCATTCAATTTTAATAAATGATTTTGTGACACCTTAGATTGTTTAAATATTCACTTAGTTCTGTAATGTGTGAATGTTTTCAGTAAGTGACTCTTCACATACTTAAGATGAAAACTCATTACATTGAATAATTGGTTGAAATAGGGGCAGTCTTCAGTTATAAATATTAATGATTAAGAAAACTTTGAAGTTTTATTACCAGTAGTCAGTTTACTTGTTGTCTATCACTATAGTGTAGACTCTAGAAATGATTGTGTATCGTTAAATTAAATGGAAATTCTGAAGAGCTAATTTAGTTTCTTAGAGTTTGATGCTTAAATATGAATCATACAAATCATATCTTGTTCTCTTTGTTTTCACTAAATCATTGCCTTAATGATTAACTTGTAGATGTGGAGCACTTCATGTTGGGGACCACATATTAGCTATTGATGGCACAAGGATTGACCAAATGACAGTTGCGGAAGCCTCCCAGATTCTCAAGATGTCTCTTAAGGAAGTTATTAAGTTAGAAATTTTCCCTATCAGTCAGATGATCAGTCAGAGAGTTCCTGGAACTAAAGTCCGTAAAGGTAGTACAAAAGTCTTTTATAAGTGGAAATCTGTATCCTTTGTGTAATGTTCTCATAAATGATAAAGCATCATGTGAAACAGTCTTTATTCTGTACTTTCCTGCAATTATTGGTGATGAATGTAATGTATTCTGCATATTTTATCTTATTTTCACCCTCCTTTTTTTACTGAGTGACGATCTGCATACCTTTTATTAAACTTATTAAGTTCGAAAAGCCTAGCATTATGAATTTGACCAGTTTCGAACCTTGTTACATATTTGCATTGCTCATATCCTTGAAAGGAATTAACAAACATTTATAAAACTGAAATTTTTCTTCTAGGCTTTCTGCCACCATCTAATGTGGTACAATTGGGCTCCAATTTTAGCTACAATACCTTATCTTCTTTTGGGGATAAATCATCCTCATCATCTAGGCAGCCACTTCTTCCTCTTACCCAACCTATACATCAAGGAAGATGGGGTCAAAATTTGGATCATAGAAGACTTCTAGCCAAGTCTGTACCAGCTTGTTCTTCAAGTGGTGAGTACCCTTTTAGAAGTTCTGAACAAATTTTACTTTTATCATAAAATTCATTGTTTGTTTGATTTAGTAGTATTGTTGGTTGTTCAGTAGAAATTTTACAAGAAGAACTTTGTTCATGTGATAAATCACTGAATGCAATTTATTTTCTGTTGGAAATCTCCTTATAAGAGTTTCACTCTTATTGATCTCTCTTTTCCTTGTGTTAACTTCTTCAAAACTGCATTTTAAAGTTTTAATTATGACATTCATAGAAGAAAAAAAAATTATCTCCTGTAATTTTGTGTAATATTTTGCTAAATCTTAAGATAAATGCTTAATTCTTTCTAAACATTATTTTAAGAATAGCTTTAACTTGACTAAATATTTTTTTATACATAGCTTCCTTATCATCAACTGTAGCAACTTGGGTACCACCTACAGGTCAGCTCAGTTATACTGATATGACTGCTGTCACAATCCATGCTGATCATCGAGGGTTTGGATTTGCACTACAGGGAGCTACTTTTACTACAGAAATGTTGTCTGCTTCTCCATTTATCTCAGACATGGACCCTGGAGGCCCTGCTGAAAGGTGATGATGAATGTTTGATAGAAATATTGTCTTTAACTTGTGTAAAAACTTAGGTAAAAGTCTTGTAATGTAAAAAAGTAAACACCCAACCACGCGATACAGATGGTTTCAGAAGTAAGTGAGTGAAGATGAATTTTAGAACCAACAAATATGATTTATGCTCAGCGTGAGATATTGGAGAACATGTAAACTTTATGTTCAGCTAGATTATCTTGTTATTTCAGTTACTGCAAGATACACTTTCTGGCATTATGATAAAACAAGGTTCACTCTTACAGTAGAATCATTTTATTTATTCCCTGCTCTGAATGTGACCTTATTTTCATGGAGGTAAACTGTACTCTTAACATGAATAATCTTATAAAGACTATTTTTGCTTGGTTGATTTTAACAGTATAAATTTATTTTTCTGGTAAACATATATCAATTACCATTAAAACTTTGTATCAGTCTCTGCTTATCTAATGTTTATAATAGCCTGAGTAATTGCATATAATATTTTCTTCATTGAAATCAATGAATATAAATTATCTGACTATATCTTCTATTAGGCAGAGTTGTATAGTTGAGTTGAGAAAAGACCCACTGATTGGAAAAATGTATTTTTAAGTGGTAATATTCAAATAAACCATTTTTATACTGTTCAGTAGTATGTTAAAACTACTTACTGTAGATTACTTTGGGTTTCATAAGATAAATTCTTGGTGTTCTAGAACTGGCATTCTTCATGTCGGAGACAGGGTGTTAGCAGTAAACACTCAGTCTACCCAAGGACTGACTGTTGAAGAAGTTACTCAACTACTCCAGCGATCACATCCTAGGGTAACACTTGACATTGAGTTTGATGTAACAGAGGCTGTGGTACCAAGCAGTGGAACGTTTACTGTCAAACTGGCTAAACCAGGTGGTGGCCTCGGCATAACAATCACAGGTGTGTGAAAGACAAAATTTGGTGGACGTGATTTTAATTTTTGGTTTTGTTAGACAAATAGAGGTGAGATGATAGTATTTAATACCACAGTATAAAATGTGATACTTTTATTCAAATCATTAGTAAAGCTGTGACATATGAAAACAACTAAAGATATAAAATTTCATAGAATTAAGAAAAAAAAGTTGCTGTATGCTTTGTGATTGTTTTTAAACAGGTAACAAATTTGTAACAGTGTGGATTTGTATATAATGTGTGTGAATCGCACAAACAATGTGGATATGTATACTAAGTGTACTTCTCACATTTGTATAATTTTTGTAGAGAAATAACATCTTGTAATAAAGTTGTTTGATGCTTGTTACTAAATTACCAAAAGTACTGTAATAATGGTTTCAAAATCTGCAATATAAGACTTGAGGATTTAAATTATAGTTCCAGATATTCATAATTAGGATAAAAAAGTTTGCTTATTTCTATTGCTCATAAACCTCTAAGTTCCCTTCTTGCATTGTTAATGATTTAAGTATCTTTGTGTGTTTGCTGTTTTTCATAGCTCCAAAGAATCGACAACAAGGAGAACCCCTGATCATCTCAGACATTAAGAAAGGCAGTGTGGCTCATCGAACAGGAACTCTTCAACCAGGAGACAAACTGTTGGCCATAGATTCTGTACGGATGGACAATTGCACTGTAGAAGATGCTGCTGAAATCCTGCAAGCCTGTGATCAAATTGTGAAACTAAGGATTCGTAAAGATGAAACATTCTCTGGTGAGACACGTGGAAAGCTTTCTCACTAGAACTAAGCTTATGTCTTTATAATATATAAAAAAGAGATTAAAATGAACACTCTAAATTATATACACTTCAGTTAGTTTACTAGTCACTTTTTCCAGTGGTTATGAAATTTCTTTTTGATGTATTTCATTAGAGGTTTTATGTGTGTTAAATTTAATGAAACACCACACAAATACATTAAGCCATCTTTTTGTTTTATAACAGAAGAACCAGATGCATCTGGAAGTGTTGTGTATACAGTAGAGTTAGTACGCCATGGAGGACCTCTTGGTATAACCATCTCAGGCACAGAAGAACCTTTTGAACCTATTGTTATTTCTGGACTTACAGGTGGTGGTTTAGCAGAAAAGTAAGTGTATCAAATGTTAATTCTTATATGATAGATTAATTAATTTTTCATATTCATTCTGTGGTCATGCAAGCATGTGTATTCTAAACTTCTGTTAGTCTTTTAAAGACAATGTACAATCCGAAAAATTCTATGTAATGGCCTTTTAATGGAAGTACCTTAACAAGAGCACAAGTTTTACAGATTCAGTGAAAGTTTTACCATTAATTGGTTGACTACATGTTTTGCATGAAGGATTAAAGTTAAGGTTTATATTTACCCTTATGCATGAAAATATTAGGTTAAAATCAAGAAAATGTCAGTAAAACAAGTTCATTTATGTTTCATTGATTGGTCATTCAATGATTTAAATAAATTATGATACAGAAATATCAAACAACATACATACATATATATATGGATGGATTGTCACTAAAGACTATCCCTGGCAATATCACATGGTGCATATTGGTTAAACAATTAAAACTTAATATCAGTTTCTAAGAATGCATCAAATGCACTGGGAAACTGCATGGTGTCCTGGTGGGCCAATCTTTCCATGTATATACATATGCACATATTAATTCATCTAAAGCCTTTAATATTATTCAAAATATCATCCCATTAACTGAAAATATACAAATAATATACTTATATATGCAGGTATGTGTTTGTGTAAGTGTAATATATATATATAGGGTTAATAGTTCTTATCCAAGAGTCATGTAATTGCTGCTGGGAATATTATACTAACATATAAGTTTTTATTCTACTTCATTTAGCAAAAAAGAATGTTTCATAACAATAAATATTTTATTGTTATTTTGTTAGTGCACATCCATTGTAACCAATGTGTTATTTATTGCTGAATTTCTTTATAAATTTGAAGTAAAATCACAAAATAATAATTAAACTTTTGCTTATGTATAAGCATCATATGTGTTGTGAAAAATGTACTGGTAAAAGTTTGAAATGTAACACAAAGAATTAATTTTTGGATTTCTGTATAATGCTAACAGAACGGGAGCTCTTCATGTGGGAGACCGTCTTTTAGCTATCAACAACCAGAGTTTGAGAGGAAAACCTCTGAGCGAGGCTATACTTATGTTACAGAATTCTGGGGATGTCGTTACCCTAAAGATCTCCAAGACTCCAGACCAAAATCGTAAGAAATATTTGTATCAAATTCTAAATTTTCAATTAATTACTGTTCTTAATTTACATAAGAATAATACATATACGTGATGCTAATGGTTAGCAGTATGGATATGTATATAATTTGTGTTTATTACTGATCTGTAACAACATCACATATGGACAACAAGGGACCACATGGTCCTTCAAGGCTATCTTTACACATCCACTTTTTCTATTTCAAGAATTCATCATTTCCCATCTTAAATTCCTGTAAAGTTCTGGCCTCCATTATTGCTGATGGCAACTCATTCCATAACCCAATCATCCTGCTAGAAAAGTAAAACTGGTCTTAGCTGGTGCCTAGCCTGTCTTTGTCAGATCTTAAACTTGAATTTTACAAAGCTTCTTTTATCAGTCTCTATAGAATTTTTCCAACTGCAGAAGTAAGGCTAACTTAGTCTCCATATTCCAGTAAAATCTCGTCACCCAATATGAAATAGGAGTAACATTTGCAATCTCCAATCTTGATACACTTGTCTACTATTTACTATTTGTCTACTATTTATTGACCTACCAAAATTGAAATAGAGGAGCTCCTTTTAAAACCCTGTGGAAAAATCTTGTCCTGTCCTGGTTCTATATTTATTTTTAATCTTTCTACTTACTACCAAGGGATTAATATGTAGGTATGTGATTCAGGTCAGTTCCAATATTAAAGGTCTATAACATATAGTCTATAACTATACGATGAGTGTTCTACAGATTTGCAATGGTTGGTGTATTACGTATTCTGTAGTTATGTGGATTACATATAATTTACACTACAGATCTTTAACAATGTGATAATGGATATACTACAGATCTTTAACAATGTGATAATGGATATACTATAGATCTGTAACAATGTATGTATATGTGTGTGTGTGCTCTGACAGGTACTAACAATAATTAAAACATAAGGGTAGGCATAACAATATATAATTGTATGCATCATTCTAGAGAATTTCTATATCTGGTATTGTAAAATAATATTTGTATTTTAAACTTACAATCAGAAATGTTTTATATGCATGTTTTTTTATGGATAAAATTACACTTCTTTCGTTATTTTGGTCATGGATAATCATAGAAAAGCATTTCGTTTCTTAATAAATAAAAAATCAGATTTTATTATTATGATTTTTAATTGAATAGTTGTTTTAATTGTAGTTGTTAGCCAGATTGCTGGTTAGTTTGATGTAGTATTTACCATTATATTCAAGCAGATGAATTATTTTGATGAGGTAACCTCAAGGTTTCTTAAAACTTCTGAATTAACTTCAGTTTCTCTCAGATGACTGTAAAGAAATCCTTTGCTAAGATGATTCACTTTTCAGCATAGCCTCCTTAGCTAGTAAAAGAGAAGGGGATGTTCATAAACTTTTCGTTTCAGAATGATCAGACTCTTGCTTTGATATAATGCTTTTAAAATATGGCTTGCACTTACATGTTGTAAAAGACCGCAACATTTGTCAAATTCAAAGTCAAAATATTGCTACTTCTAATAATAGTCAAATTCAAAACCAAAATGTTGGATGTTTTGATAATGCAATATTATTTACAAGCATCTTTAAAGATTAGTTTTATTGTTAGAATCACCATATTTCACTTAAATGAATTATTTCTATATAGTAAGATTCAACTGGACATTGTTTCTTGTGAATATTTTAATTTTTTTAAAGTATTGTTCCTTAGAAGCACAATCTCAATATAATTCATAAAATTTTTGGACTTGCATATGTACTTCCACTAATCTTTTAAAGAGAAATTAAAATAAATTTATGTTTGTTTGTCTTGCAGCAGAAGAGAGTTTAAAACCAGGAAAGGAAGAGGTAGGCCTGACAGAGCAGTTGGATTCTGATTTTCATTTGAAAAAATTAATATATATATTTATAAATTTTTATTATTTGAACTCCTTTGTTTATAAAATACTAATAGAATACTTTTACACACTAACATATATTTGTTATTATAGGTAGATTTGTAGCCTCAGCAATAGTATTATATTTGTAGTAACTCTAAAACTTCTTCATAAGATTCAACATCTTTTGCTTGCACCTAAGGCTTCTTATGGAGGGGCCGAATGCATCCCGGTATCTAGCCTGTCAGATTCTGGATGTGATATTCCATGGTTCTCATCCTGTTATTGTAACACACAAAAAATCTCATTTCACACTTAGTGGCTGTGGGTGCATTATAAGAGTTATATTCAAGTCCTTGATTTAGTCTTATAAGAGTATCCCTAGAATTGGTGGCAGGTTCTGTTGACTAATTGTTCCCCCTCTTGTCTCTCATTTGAAAATTAGGTATGGCTAGCACAGATAGTTCTCATTCTCATAGAGCTTTGTACAAAATTCTAATGGGGGAAACTATGTTCTATCTCATAGTGTAAAAGTGAGTCATCATAAGAAGCTCTGGTGCAAGTAAAAATATGTTGTATCTGTCGGAGTGTAAAAATGAGTTACTTACACATTAAACTTTTCTGGTGACTCATTTTTACACTCCGACAGGTACAACATCCTTTTTACTTGTATGTAATGTTCAGAGTAGGAAACAGAAATGTGAAGAAAATTTTTTTTGTCAAGAGCAGTTTGAAATTTATAAATGTTGAATTAAATTTTTTCTGATGAGCTCAATAAATTGTTTCCCAAACACAGCAAACACAAGAAAGAGATACTTACCTAAAAAGTATCAGCAAAACCCTTCCAAGTGTGGATAGTGCTGTAGAGTCCTGGGACAGTTCAGGACTGGAGATTTCTATCAATGAGATGCAGTCCAAAGAAAGTTCAGGAAATGGAGAATGTGATGATACAGGTAGGGCAGTTTCACTGTAAAATATCTCTAGTGTGAGTTGGAAAGTATGAAACATGGCTCTCTTTAGTGAGGAGCATTTCTTTGTTGGCTGCACTTGTAATTCATCGTTGTTTGTAACACTACGATATTAATGTTACATCCGAGTTCAACATCTTGGGGAAGTGAGGCCAACAGAGAACTTCCCTGCACTAAAGAGAGCCTGCAGATACATAAGGTAAATGCATCCTGAGTTAAACATAAACCAAACAGCATCATCTTTGCTTCTAAATATATGTATTGTATGTTAATGAATGAAGCAAAAAAAAAGTTTTAAATGCCGTGAAATGGATGATATGTAGTTAACTTTTGCTCATAACATCTAATACTTGTGTGAGACTTGTGGTCTACTTTTTTCATTTTTTAAAAAATAAAATGTGCATCGAACCCATATTGAAGAAAGAATGTTGAGTATGAGTCAGAATTTACAAATTGTATCTACTCAAAATTGGCCAGCTGTGTTACAAATGTACTAGTCTGTTGTACACAGAAAATCAGATGTGTTACAAATGTATTTGTACTCAAAGTATGCATTTGAAGAATAAAAATACTTTGTTCATCATAAAGTTTCATAATCTCCAGAACCTCCGAAAATGCATATCTTCAGTGTTTTCAGTACAAGTGTATATCGTATCTAGTATTTACACTATGCCAAAACTGTCACTAAATGAATAGTGTAGGGTAAAATGAATAGTTGATAATTCTAACATCAAAGTACATTATACCATATTGAATGGCACTCTTTAAAAGGTTGTGGCATGTGCACTTGGACCATCATCCATGCACATTAGGTTAATATTTTATTTCATGGGCATGAAAGTTCAAATATTCATGTGTGAAAAAGAAAACATTATGTCTTTGTTGTTTTTTTTTATTGCATTTTATCATCCAAAAGCCTTGGTAATGAAAGGGTTATTATCTGATTTTTAAACGTAACATAATGTCCCATCCTCTAATCTAAACTAAAACCATTAAATAAAAAACCTCAGAGTCAGCCCTTATCATTCATGTAGTTATCAAGCTTTTTCTTAACTTAAATTTACTGCCTCCAACAAAGGCCAACCACTTTGTTAAAAAATAAAACTGTCTTAGCTGAAGATGACTCCTACCCTGCCAAAATTTATATTTGTGTCCTTTAGTCCTACCATTCTCACCATTAAAAATTAGCTATAGGTTTTTTTGTTTCATCATACATGTTTACAAATATTTAAAGCTTATTTTCATTTCAAAGGATAATAATTGTTAATTTTTAAAAAGAATAGTTCTTACGTAACTTTAGGTTTCAAAAACCTATTTTGAATTTGTGCATTTATTAACTAATATATTCAAGTAAGTTTAAATAAAATTATTAAGTCTAGTAGCTTCTAAATAAAACTTCATGAAATAATTTCTCTAAAACATTTAATAAGAGGTGGAAAGTTAGTAAATTAGACGTTGTGTATTTGAAAAACAAATTTATAGATAAACGTTTTTCACATTTAAAATTCCTGTATTATAAAGATTCAATTTTATTAACTTTTATCACTCTTAGAACAATCTTCTTCTCAAAAATGGAATTTTAATTCTGAATCTGAACCTAATGAAAATGAGGATAGTCTTAAACCAAGAGAATTGGATGTTGAAAACTGGGAATACCAGACTCGTACTAACCACAGTTGTCGAAGTTGTGGCAGCAGTCATTCTAGTGGCTCAGGTGGGAAGCATACCAGTTGGTCAGAAGCTTTAGAAAACTTTGAACTATGTATGCGGCCAGAAATACTGGGAAGAGATCAGGGTATTGCGGAAAATGATCCTGTTCGTCGGGCAAATTCACAGTCCCAGTTTTGTGGCACAATGAATTCACCTGGTGAAAGCATAAATCAGTCAAAGTCTCGAACAGTATCTTTGGAACAACTTAATGATATAGTTAGCCAACCAGGGCAATCTGAAGATGGATCACAGAGGTGTAGCACTTTACCAAGTTCTATATCCAAAAGAAACAGGGAACAAGCCCACCAGAGTACTGATCATGGTGCAGTGTCTCTATATTCTTCTTACCAGAGCTCTTTGGCTGTCCCTGTGCCAATTGAAATCCACAAAGTGACACTTTTTAAGGATCAAGTGTATGAAGACTTTGGGTTTAGTGTGTCTGATGGTCTCTATGAAAGAGGAGTCTACATCAATAGGATACGACCTGGAGGACCTGCCAACATTAGCGGTATTTTGAAACCCCTAGATAGGATATTACAGGTAGAACAATTATAACTTCTAGTTCTCTCTAAAATAATCATCACAGTGTTGAACTGTATATTTTGAGTGAAGTCTTTACATTATTAATATACAATTTTTCATGTAATGTAGCCTTTATAATACATACTACGAAGTAACATTAAAAGTTAAAAATTACATCTAATAACACATTTCAGCAGCATTAAATACTTTGTGTAATTCTCAGTAGAAGTTTGTGAATTTTAAAAGAATATTTTAAGAGTTGAAGAGGGAAATCAAGTTAAAAATATTTGAAATAAAGTGCATAAGATCTTGCTGTAAATTTTTAATGGAATGGCTTGTATATAAAAGATAATCAAATGTGTTTAATTTTTTGTTTCATCGTAAACTTTCTTATTCTAGATAGCTGTAACTATTTTGCTGTCTGTGCATTTCTAGGAAGCTTTAAATACCCAAGTATTAAAGTAGTCAGTTTCTTTGAAATATTTATTATTTATTAATAATGTTTTTTAAATTACTATTTTTTTTTAGGTAAACAACACCAAAACTCATGATTTTGACTGCTGTCTAACAGTTCCACTGATAGCAGCAGCAGGGGACCGTATAGAACTTGTTGTTAGCAGGCCAGCTTATGAGAGCCGGATGTCTCTAGCAGCTAGTACTCTTGGAAGGGGAAGTGTACTTCATCCTTGGATGGATGAAGTAGATAGAGAAGATTGCTCATCACCTCTTCATCCACCTGAAGGTGCTGAATTGTTATCAAAAGCTATTTGATTTGAATTAAAGTAACAGCTGAGATGTAAAGTAATTTTCTTCTTCAAAGTGTTATTGTTAAAATAAAATGTGTTCAATAGTCAGTCTACTTTACTTAATTAAAGGGAAAATGTACAAGGTATTATTAGAAAATCTACTTAAGTCATCTTCATCTTACAAACAACTTATTTTCATTTTGCTTTAGACTGGTTTCATTGTGAATGGGCTTTGATATTGTCTTATATCTGTAAAGCACTACTTTATTAAATACACCAGTCTTAAATGTATTCATAATTCAAAGAAAGATTATTGAAAAGCTAGCATTCCATTTTTTTTTTTTATGGGACAATTGGTATGCCTATCGTAATGTCTCTTTTCTCTAGCTTTTCTACTTAGTATTGATAAAATAACAAGAAGGATAAAGAAAAGGAATTATTCAGAATACTTTGAGAAATTTCTGTGAAATAAGGTTTTTTTATTGACACTGGTAATGACCTCAGTAATATCATGTTTATCACATGTTCTTCAACTTAAAAACTAGGTAAGGTTATGTAAGGTAATTAAGAATGAAACTTTTCAAATTAGCTAGGAGCAAGAAAGTATTTCTTGTTCAATTCTTCATAAAATGCTAGCACAAGGAATTGAAGTGCCTTATTTTTTAAGTTTTTTTTGTTAGCATTTAAGAGTTTGTTAAATATGTTTGTTATTTTATTAAAAAAACAATTGTTTGATATATTTTAGTCACATTTTACCAAGTTGTGAAATTAGCAAACTTGAGGTTAATTTGTTTATTAATTCACTTGAACTATGTTTTATTTTGTGTAGTTTCTAACAAACCACTGCTAATCTTGTATATTGATACTTCAGAATTAGTAATTAGGGGACTGCTTCTGTATTATATGAAATGAACCAAAATGATTCACTCAGTACTGAAAGAGGAATATATTCATAACTTAAAGACATTATTTGCTTGGAAGGAAAGAAAAATAGATTTATTTCCAAAGCTTTGTTGTATAAAAAACACAAATTGTATGATTTAAAAGAAAATTAAATGTGTAAAATACACAAAATGTTTCATCACACTTATTAAATTTATAAAACTACAGTCGTTTTTTTTTTATAAAGACTTGAATTTAATGAATATTTTATAAAGAATTGCACAGGGGCTGTATTTATATAATGTAAATATCAAACGAGAAAGTACTAACTTTTACTGGCTCTCATTAGTTTAATTTTTTCATAAAATATTTAATTTTTTTACTACAAAAAAAAAAAACATCTGTTAGAATCATGATTCATAATATGAAACATAGAATGAAATAAAGGTAGTTACCAACTGGACAATATAAAATAATCTGTACTTACTTCCATTCCTCAATGTTAATATGATTTTTAAAAAAAAATGTGACTTATTTCCAGTTTTAATGTAACAACTGTTGTTATACTCTGAAAGTACATGTTATTTAACATTTACACAGAACTTCAAACATGAACAGTGTTTCATCTGCAATTAACATGACTTTTATCACAAAATTTAGGCCTTTTGTTGAAGAGTGTTGTTCAAAGTTTGATATCATGTGAGTGATGAGTCAGCTACAGACTGTTTAACATTGCATGAAGGGAAAAATGAGTTGTTTAATGACCAGAATATGATAGATGGTACTAGTCTTATAGTTATAGTCACCCAGTTTAATATATTTGATGTTTTTTGTTGTTGTTTTTTTAAATATATTCAATTGATAGTAATAAGGGTTATAATAAGGGTTATGATAACATATGAAGTAATTATTCATTCAGAAACAGATGTGTGTAGATGTTGTTGTTTTTTTTTCAGTTTCATGCTGGAGAGAGAGGTGTATGTGATGGAGAATTTAAGAAGCCTTGTAAATTTTGTAACAATGTAAATTTATTGATACCAGGATAGGACACGCTAATTCAGATGTTTAGTATTTATTGGAGAACGGCAAGTGTGTGTTCCATCACTGAGAAATTGTTTCATTATAGCACTAAAAATATAGCAAGCATCTCCAATGTACAGTAAAATATGATACCTAATAATAAAGAATGCCATTTTAAAACCAAAACCATGAAGCACGTAAGATTAGCTTACGCCGTACATAATCTGTCATTGGAAAGGATCGATGATTAGAAATCATAGAATCTTTCGACCTGCACCTTCAATTACACAATTTATTGTTTACGCATTAGAAATATCTTAAAACAATTATCTAGAAGGGCTTTTTTTTTCTTTAATATTTTCCAAGCAATACAATAGTTAGGTCTGTCGATAAAACAGTACAAAAAACTCGGATAATGCATGGAGGAACGTTACTGGTAGGCATTGGAAGTGAACTCTTTATTGAATTCAGTAAAATATATATCTGTCGTTGTGTTTTACATTCATCCCAACGAGTGAGTTTTCAGGTTCATTACGTCACAAGTGCTAGTCGCTTAACGTGTGGAATGATGACACATATAATTTGTTTTTACTCGTTTATGAGACTTATTTCTAAGTTGATTTCATTGGCTGTTATTAGTGTTATAAAAGGATACATTTAGAAAGAAAAACTACAATTGGTCAGAATTCATAAAACAGGAACTTGCAAGCTTTCATCAAATAAAGAGAGGAGATTTTAAATTTTTTTTTTTTAAATTGGAAAGCAGAATTAATATAGAAATCTCCATAAGATTAAGATGTGAAACTTTTTAATTGCATTCTCTAAGCGAAATATTGAAAACGTATGGTAGAGGAGGCAAGAATTATTGTATTTGAATAATAATATTAATAATACACCAAAAATATAGTCGGTAATCATCGCGCTTGGACAGCAGTTATGTAGCAAATTATATGAAAATATAATGTATAATCTACGTATACGACTTTTGTGTACCCATTAAATTCTTCTTCGACGGCCACGATCTTATGGAACAGCAGTCAGTGAACCGGTCATCGCATATTACAAACGAAGCTTAAATAGTCCTTTTGATTAACTTATTTCTCTAGAAATCAAAGTTACAAGGTGGATCAAATTTCCTAAATATTTTGTATTATTGAGTGAAAAAGGGAATATACCTTATATATTATTTTTTTCTAAATTAATGTAAATAACTATGGAAACACATAAGCGATACACATACTGTAATCATAAGCAACGAGTAATGGCAATTAGATGGTGAATTTTTTTTTTAATGGTACAAAGATCGTTACAAAAATATACGTGTGAAAAGTGAATAAATTATACAAGGCACAAGTATTTTGTAATTGACCTTTTTTTTTCTTCACACAGAGCCATGCTGTCTTACAGCTTATTAGTGACAAATTGTGGAGTACTGTTGTAAATATCATGTATAATCCAACTAAGTTGTTTGTTCGCCCTTTCGGCTTTTCAGTTTTACGTGAGTCCATACATACTCAAAAATGTTCATGTCTGTACTTCGTGTAGGCCAAACCATGGTTTGAGTGTTCCAGTGGCCTCTTTTTACAGTCATTGTTTTACCATATTAGCTTGGTATCTGGTCTTGCTAGAAGATGAATCCCCAACTGATAAGTTGTGTACCTGAAGGAATTGAAAGGATGGAACAGAATTTGCATATATTTGTTAGCAGTTTTGTGTAGGTCACGAACACCACTGACTGAGATGAAGCCCCAAACTTGTACTGATACCCCACCATGCTTCACTGTACATATTCACTATGGTAGTGTTCTCCTCTCCACCATTGAAAAAAACTATTATTATTTATTTTCTAACAATTTGAACTAATAATGTTTGGAGACGGCTTGAATGGGTAATGAAGAAAAACTTCAATATCAGTTTAACATAACAGCAAGTATACAACGTTTCGACAAGGTTCTGTCATCATCAGGTACTTGTAATGCAAAGGGGTGATACAGAGACTTTTATAAATTGGTATAAGTTGGGATTTCTCTCTTTCGAATATATGTATTTGGAATGATCATTCATGTAGTTAATCCAAGGGTTGAGGGATACCAAAATTGGACCCTGTTATGGCTTAAAAGTATGATATTACATTATTCTATCTTCATCCAGTGCAGACATGATATTATAATGCTCTCTGTCACCAGCAGCCAATGGGAACTCGCAACAGAAAAAAAGAAATGTAGAGGCTAGCCATTAGGTAAAAATATAGACAATGTTCTGAATAAAAATCCATTTTACTTCCTCGCTTGAACTTCCTTTGCATCTATTTTTGAAATATTACTCTGCATAAAATTTCCAGAACCTATAGTTGATCGATAACAGTGTACCTATATACCACACAATAACCAAAATATGGCAACAATGTAGTGCGGAATACAATTGTCAATTTAGAGAAATAAGAAATTAAAAGAATAGATAACTTTCAAGATAAATTTACGTATTAAAATATAATTAAATTTTGCATGCTTTCATGAATTTAGTATTAGTGAAATACAAAATTTCAAAATACTTCATGATTGTACATAAACTTCATCTTTTAGGGTGGTCAAATGAGTTTACTTCCTTATTAAATTATAATACAGTAGTTAATTTGCATAAATATTAATTTTATCAAAGTGTATATCGCCAAAAGATACACTACACTGAGTGGTCACAAGTAAATAGACACCTAATTTTTCGTCATTTAACTGATTTATGCTTACTAATATAATATATATATATATA